GGCTTGTGAATTGTTACAATCATAGAAAGTTCTCTCAAAAAAGCCCAGTCTTTTTCTGGCCACACTGATATTCCCATCACTAAGTATTATGATCTAGAAGAAGGATTTCAATTTGGTAAATATTTGACAGTTGCATTGCAAGGGATGAGTAAGACACAGTCCCTATCTACTGGGAGTTGTGATCTCGTGGGGAAAAGAAAACATGAACAAGGGAATAACTACAATGAGGAATTTAAGACCAGCTGCCAAGTGAAGGACAGAGCACTTTGGTTCAAAGGAACACACTGGTGGAATAGGAAACGCATGGTGGGAAGGACTGGACATGTGACCCCAGTGCAGGTGAGAGCCCTAGGAGAGAGAAAGGCGGGGTCGGGAATGTGGGGGCGTAGAAACGTATTACAGTAGAAGAGCACCTGGAACGAGAGGCACAAAGGAAGGCCCAGGACCCACTCAGGGAACAAGGGTGGAACGCAAAGGACCCAGGTCTGCAGCCCAGAGGCTGGAACGCAAAGGACCCAGGTCTGCAGCCCAGAGGCAACAATGAGAGGGAGACTTCAGGCCCAGGTCCCCTGTGTGCTCAGCTAGGTAGTCAACAGTGGGACAGTACTGAAAGATTTTGATCAAGGTTGTGACGAGCTCCAAGGTTACCAACCGAAAAATGAATCTGGTGGGGAGAGGAAGAACTGACTTGAAAAGCGAGAATTTGAGGCATGAAGAGGGAAGGTCGAGAAGGTCAGCAAGGAAAGAGGAAATCCAGCATCCTCTTGAGTGCACCATTTCCCTTTTGACTTGGCCACAGGCTACCTTGATTTCCATTTTGAAAAGGCTTTGCAAGTCAAGATTGCAACATCCTTTACATGCCATTGGCTGTCTTACTTACCACTGACTCCGGAATACTGAGGCACTTTCTGAAAAGATGAGAAACCTCTGGGTACCCCGTGTCATTTCTAAAAATTGCATAAAGGCGCCGAACACACGTGTCACATGCATTTAAGTAAAAGTGTACAGTTAGGTACAAAGAAAAGCAGTCTATGTCAAGTATGGGACAAACCTTGGCAACCAGGACAACCTGAATGGCAGTTGGCCTGCGGCAAAATCCAGGGAAGGCCAGTCCCAGCTGAGAGAAGAAATAAGATAATAATACAGGTGAAAGTACACTGGGGACCCTAACCCACCAGGCACATGGAAGATTTTCTGGAATTCAACCAGCGGAGTGGGATGCTGTCCAAGAAAGACGAGCACTGGGGAGCCCCAAGACCACACTTCTAATCACAGCTTCTCTTGTGACCAAAGGCTGGAGGCCCTTGCCCACAGTCCCCTCACTGTAAAAGGACAGCTGAGCCACAGCATTTTCAGGGCGCCCTCCAGCTCCAACAGGAACTCTAGAGGTCAAAAGAAACCAAGGAGCAAAAAGAGAAGAGGGGCAAAGATCTTCAAGAAGGCACAGCCTTGACATCACCCTTCGAGAAGAACACGAGAAAATGGAAGCCCCTGTACCAAAGCAAAAGGAGCACTCTGGTCCCACGGCCATTCAGCCTTCCCCAGCAGTGTAATTAGAGGCTCATGGGGTCCACTGAGGCATCACCATCCTGCCACAGATGGGCATCAGACACGCTGCATGGTTGAGGAGGGAAAGAAAGGAGGCTCACGGAGCACCACATAAATGCTTTCAGCTTTGGGGCGCCTGGGTGGCTCAGTCCGTTAAGCGTCTGCCTTTGGCTCAGGTCATGATCCCTGGATCCTGGGATCGAGCCCCTCATCAGGCTCCCAGCTCAGCAGGGAATCTGCTTCTCCCTCCGCCCCTCCCCCTGCTCATGGTTCCCCCCCTGCCCCCGTCAAATAAATAAAATCTTTAAAAAGAAAAAAACAAAACAGAACGCTTTCAGCTTCAGAACTTTCAGAGAAAGGATGGCAGACTCCAGTGCCCACAGGGGCCAGACGTGGGTAAATGTAATTCGCAGTGAGTGAAGTAAACCAAAGCAACGCAACAGAGGCTGGTGAACTGGAGGGCCCACGTCCCACCTGAAGGGCACAGTTGCCACTCCACGGGGGCAGGTGAGGCTGCGCAGAAAAGTGGACCCAATGTTGCCGGATCTTTTACTTTTGCAAGAAGAGCCACAGCCCTAGATTTTTATGTAAAATGTCTAGGTTTTTAGCAGGGATCAAAGAAAATACCACGAAGCGGTTTTCAGCCCTTGGTCCTGCTGTCTGAACAGCAGCCCTGGTGCTCTGGTGCTTGGCTCTACTTGATCTCCGCCCACCGCAAACGGACAGCGCCGCTCCGAATGAGAGGACAGATTCATAGGGCCTTTCTGGACCTAGCCTGCTCTCTGCGAAAGCGGCACAGCACAGAACCGTGGCTGCAGAAGCAGCACCCTCCTGGGCCACAATCTGCTGCCACGGGGTGTGCTGACAGCTCAGTGGTGCCTGCCGTGAGCTCTTCTCTAGGCCTCTGAGCACAGCCATCTGCCTGGACAGCCGCCCTCTCCCTGCCCAGAACACACGGGCGGCCTGTTGCTCCGGAAGCGTGCTCAGATGCACCTACAAGGGAGGACCCACATACCACGTCGGGCACCTTCCCTTGGATAGAGACATCAGTCATAACTCAGACCCTCATGGGAGAGGAAAAAAGCCAGTATTTTACTACTCACTAGTAGAAATGCACTGACCTGCACATGGATGAAGTCGCCTTCTGGAGTTTTTTGTTAGAAACAGATACTAGCTGTTATGAGCAGGAATAGGTGGAAACTTGTATGCCAACCTGGTGGGGGGGTATAAACTAAAACCACTCTTCTGCAGAGCAATCGGACAACACAGAGCAGGAGCATTCAAAATGTTTATACTGCTTGACCCCATGGTCCTAATTCTAGAACTTTATCCTATGAAAATAATCAAGAAATGGAGAACAGCCATTCCTTAGAATAATGGAAAACAAGAGTATGTTACGCAGACACTAAAAAGGTTTCAGAGTGGTTAGCAACAGGAAAATACTCAAGGTGGACGAAGGGTTATAAGCACCAAGTAATACTTTCTCACATTTTCCTTTAGAATACCTCCAAGACGGGGCGCCTGGGTGGCTCAGTCGTTGGGCGTCTGCGTTCGGCTCAGGTCATGATCCCGGGGTCCTTGGATCGAGTCCCGCATCGGGCTCCCTGCTCAGCGGGAAGCCTGCTTCTCCCTCTCCCACTCCCCTCTGCTTGTGTTCCCTCTCTCACTGTGTCTCTCTCTGTCAAATAAATAAATAAAATAAAATCTTTAAAAAAAAGTCTATAAAAAAAAAAAGAATACCTCCAAGACTACAGGAAAATGAAAGGAAAGCTACACCAGAACACAAAAGGTTAACAGAGGTTCTCTTTAGGTCGTGGGATTTATTTTTTCATTCATACTTTTCTGTATCTCCCAAGTATTCTACAATAAACGTGTACTATTTTTACAATTAAAAAATAAGTTACAGGGGTGCCTGGCTGGCTCACTCAGTACAGCAAGCAACTCTTGACCTCGGAGTTGTGAGTTCGAGCCCCACATTGGGTGCAGAGATTACTTAAAAATAAAGTCTTAAAAAAATAATAAGTTACAGATGATTTTTTTTTGAAGGAAGATTTTGGCCCTGACTAGAAGCAATGAAAAATGAATCTATCCTAACATTTTTGCCTTCTCTACCAAAATACATCAAGTCCTCAGGCAAGCAGGTCAGTGAGCTTTGGCTTTAGGTGACCCCTCAAGATGCTTACTTCAACTCTCAGCCTCAGTTTCCTCTGGGGCAAATTTCAACTGCCCAAATTTGTATGGGAGAAATCTCAGAAATAACATCTGAAAAGCACATGCTGTATCATGGGTGCCGAAAAGGCAATATTTTTCTCTACACTGTATCCACAGGACAAACTCAATAAATGTCTGCTGACAAGTTACCAAACTCAAATTCAAGTAAAAAATCAAATTTTAATCAAATTCTTACAGCACTGGGTAAGACCTTACACACACCCAACTGAGCATGACCTTTACTTACTTACTTACTTACTTACTTATTTGGCTCCATGTCCAGCATGGAGCCCAAGGCAGGGCTTGAACTCACGACCCTGAGAGTAAGACCTGAGCTGAGATCAAGAGTCGGACACGTAACTGACTGAGCCACCCAGGCATCCCATTTTATTTATTCGTTTATTTATTTATAGAAAGTGGGGAGGGGCAGAGGGGGAGGGAGACAGAATCTTAAGCAGGCTCCATGCCCATGGGGCTTGATCTCACAACCTTGAGATGATGACCTGAGCTAAAATCAAGATGCAGACGCTCAACTGAATGAGCCACCCAGGAGTCCCCCACCCTTACATTTTTAAAATGCAGCAGCTTCACCACAGAAATCCCCATTCCCACATACATTTTTAAATCAAACTGTAGGATCCTCAAAGTCTATTTTCACCAAATCAAGTCTACACATTGAGTTTCTGAACAACCATATCACACTGGCTGCTGGAGAGAGAAGGGGGGATTAATACCAAGCCTTTTTTTTTTTTAAATACCAAGTCTTAAAACACATCTTAAGGGTAATAAAAATAAAATGCTCTCCCTTGAACCACAAGAGGCCAGCTGACCTCATTCTCTTCACACTATCATGAGTCAACAGAGCTGCTAAAAGTCAAGACTTTAAAACATCTCATTCAGGCTACAAATGGAACAAAGAACCTCTACCCTTTACCTCCTCCCTATCCTGTTTGACAGGTATAAAAAGGCACGTCTCCACAAAGGGGTTATCAGCTTTAACCTCAAAGGTAGGTAAAAACGAGTCAGAAAAGGCCAGAAGGCTCAAATCCACAAACTATGTCCTTACATACATGTTTCTTCAGAATGGGTTGCCCAGACCTAAACTTTGCACCCTGCACCAGCTGGTCCCTCAGTCTCCTGTAGATGTGTCCTACTGTGGAAGACTTGTGGTCTGCATGCTGTCTGCTCCCTGTGGGCGGGGAGAGGGTCCTACTCATCCCCCACCTGCTACCTCACCTCACCTGGGGTCTGGTGGACAGAAGTTGTATTCTTCAGCACCTGCAGTGGGTTTTTACAGCCAGGAGGATGGAATGAGCAGGGAGAATCCACAGCTTTAGGTTCTTGCAATCTTTTAAATCAAACAGGGAACATGCAGTCTGTACAAAGTCAGAAAGGTACTGAACCTAGGCTACAGTCTCTTTGGAGAAAGTGATGCAGACTTCGAAATGGCTCTAAAGTCAGCCACAGGAAGGAGGGACTTTCCCAATAGCCAAAAAACAAGGGACGTGCCACTGAGTGACAGTTGTATACTTCAAGTCATTGGTCCCTCTTCCCAAACTTGGCAGATTGGCCCTTCGTGGGAAAAACAAGTTAGAATGAGAGAAGGAAGGAAGGAAATAAATCTCTGTAAGCGTAGAGCGTCTTCTCAGTTGAAGTTACAGCCTCACTTCTTGGTCAGTGATCCTGGGTTATACCTGACTCCAAATTGCACCATCAATTCCCATCATCTCATCCCAAGCAGAAGCAAGCGCCAAGTGAAGCAGTCTTGTAAAAACAGAAATGGCTTAGAATCACACAGCCCTGGTTTTGAATCTTAGCCCTACCCCAGACGTGCTCAGTGATGTCGAAAGTAACTTCACTCTCGGAGCTTAGTCTCCTCATCTGAAAACCTGGGGCATGCTGTCTAGCTTGCCCATTAAATGTGAGCAGAGCACCGTGCCCAGAGCCTGGCACACAGAAGCAGACCGGCACAGATATAGCAGCAGCTATCTTATAAAGCTCTGACAGAGGGAAAGACTGAGCAAGTCACAAAATCAAAATCAGAGGAGAAAAGCAACCATTTAGGGGTGCCTGGGTAGCCCAGTCGGTTAAGCATCTGCCTTCGGCTCGGGTCATGATTCTACGGTCCTTGGATGGAGCCCCGTGTTGGGCTCCCTGCTCAGCGGGAGTCTCTTGGTCCCTCTCCCTCTGCCCTTCCCCTCCCCCGAATTGTGTGTGCTCTCTCTCAAATAAATAATAAAAATTAAAAAAAAAAAAAAAGGAAAGAAAAGCAACCATTTAAACCCAAAGTACTACTTAAAAAGGCCTGGCTTTCCCCAATGATACACCTGATGCTGAAGCGTGCTTCTGCAGCTGCGCTCCCTGGCACACTCAGCTGAAGCGCAGCCAAAAAGGACAGAAAGGCTCCAAGCCTGGGAGTCTGGAGACCCAAACAGTTATCAGGGTCATCTCTACTCACCACATGCCCTGAGCAAGGCACTTCACTTCTCTGGATCTCCTTATCTCACACATTAAAGGACTGAATCTGTTCTTCCGATTATCAAGATTGATTTAAATGTCATTTTTGTCATGAACTGTAAATCCACATTCTCCAGACTTGGGAAATGCCAACAGGAAGCAAAGTTTTCACATGGCACATACTTAGATTAATGAGGATTCTGAATACCAAACTTTGACTCATTTCTACGGACACTGGGGTTGGGCTGTAAACTATTCTCCGTGGGTTTCTGTCCATCCGTAATGGCTGTCCACATTAGAACTTTCTCAATACTCCATGTTTTATCAAGTAAAGAACACCTACAGACCCTTATATTGCCAGGTATCCTGCCCCTTAACATGCACACACACAGGTTACTCTCATGCAATCTGCAGTTACAATACCAGTGGGTCCACGAGAACCAGAGAGAGGTCCATTCTTTCCATCTAATCAGGCAACTTTCTGGAAATATCAACCAAAAAGGAAAGATAATCCCAGAATATATTAGCCACGTCAAAGGAAGTTACTCAAGTCCCTTAAGACCCACTGCCTGTTTGATGTCCATTCTAAATCCATCATTCATGCACCAATTAAGTGTCTGATAAGTGGCAGACACAGGGGACCAGGGGATGGATCCAGGGATGAGTAAAAACAAACAGACCAATGCCCATGGGGCCACGGGCCACAAGAGAAGGTGTGAGGAGTTATTTTTAAGGCATTTCAACGTCGAAAGATGCTCCATTTCATTTTCCAGGAAATGATGAAAAGGAACACATTTACAGTCTACTCTCCCACATGCTGCATTCAGATTGCCACCTTTTTGCGCTAAATGCAAAAATTCTTTGAGGGACTATTTTCTCACTTCACCCAAGGATAATGCATTTAACTAGTACCAGATGGATGCCCAGGAGAGAAGTTAATTCATTATAGACAATGGATGTCTTGGGAACTAAGGGCTCAATTCCATGGGGAAACCCACTTGGGAAGGATTTTCATTTATCCATACACATGTCTGTCTCTATAGAGACTGTGGACTCCAAAAACCAGCAATACAGTGTCTGAAAATAGGGTTTTAATAAACCAGATGAATATGCCCAATGGAGACACAAAGACCTGTAGACTTCTCTACAACTCTTGCCAGCCTGAGCCCCACATCACTCCAAATTCTTAGTAATGGACTCTTTGATGATGAGTATTAGATCAGTGCTTCTCTTTTTCCTCCTGGGGAGAAGGGGCAGGACAGAACCCCAAAAGAGGCAAAATTGTATCTTCTCAGGAAAACAGAAGAGTACATCCACAAGTGCATTGTGTATATAACTGTGTATATAATTTCAAGGGTTCACAGGCCCTCCCGGGAAGTCTGTGACCTTCAGGTTAAGAACCCCTATACTAGATTGCTAGAAATTAGACTCAAATTAATGCCCAAATCTAACCAGCCAAGTTCTACATATTTGGCAAAAACAGAAGCAAAGGGGCCAGACAGACCTGGGTTTCGATCCAGGTTTTATCATCTGCTAGCTGGGTGAGGTTGGGGTAAATCAAATTGCCTTTCTCAGCCTCAGTTTCCTCATCTGTAAAATGGGTTAACAGTAGTTGCTAATTCCATGTTAAAGTCAGGAGGCGATGAGTAAAGACATAATGTGCTTGGCAGAGTGCCCTGTACACAATAAATGGAGGCCATCACCACCTTCCCTCTGGTCTGCAGATTCCACGCTTAAACCTCCCACTCCCATCTGCATCTCCATTCGGCGCTGCATTAACAGCTCCCATGGGATCTTAGAGAACAAGGCAGAAAATAAGGGCCCCTAAGAATTCATAAGGTCACAAAACACAGCCTTAATGTTTTCCCCCAAATCAAATGCTTGGTTTTAACCTATGAAGGCCCTTTGACAAGACAGTCAGCAATCTCTTTCTGTGTAAATCCAGATCAGCTGCCAACACACAATTGTTCTATGAGGCCAAGTCAATTTTTAGAGGCAGGCCTCTTAACTTAAAATGGAGATGAAAAGAAAAGGGTTTGATCAAATACCGAACTGCAGAAACACACTGACAGGGCAACAAGGCAGAAGAATTAGTTTCCTAAAATTATTCTCTGTGATGCCCTTAGTTAATATTGGATATTTAAGGATGTCACTCAGTCCTTCTAACCCACTACCCAGCTTCCCCCGACCCCTCATAGCTAAAGGCGCTGGCTTAGTTCTTAAATATTCTCAACTTTCCTCTGCTTTCAAGACCATTCAACACTTAACCGAGGATACAGAAAGGCCAATTTTAGAGCTACACAAAACCTATCATTCAGAGTCCTACAAATGAATTTCTCAAGCGTTTCTAAATATTTGACTTCAAGGGGGGGGAAATGCTTTTCCACTTTAAAACAATCTTTCATCTCTAGCAATGCAAATTTTCTTTGTTTGTTTAACCAATCCACATACCACTAGCCAGTGCTTAATCAGGCCTTTATTTAACATCACTAACCATGTGAGTTGTGCAGCCAAGTCTGAAAGTTTCAGATAATGATCTCATAATAGCAACAAATTGGTTCAAAGATGAAATATGTATCAATATGTCTAAGAACGCTTTAAAGTTCCACACTTCAGAATGACAGAACTATAATTCCTCCAGCATTCACACTGTATGCCTGACACTCTTATGAGCAAATGGACTTCAGTGCTGCATGAATAAATAAGATAATATAATTAATTAATAGCATTTCATATCCACACAGTTTTCACTATTTCCACAGATGAAGATGTCAAAAAAGAAAAAAAAAATCTCTCTTCTTAACAGAGCACACTGGTGACCTTGGGGAAGTTATTTAAGCCTAAAATGCACAAGAAGAGAACCAAGAATCCTGGTGACTAATCCCAAGGTTTGAATTACTATCTCTCTCTGACACTCACACACACACACACACACACACACTCTCTCTCTCTCTCTCTCTCTCTCTCTCTGTCTTAACCAGGCCCCCCCTTCCCCTAATCCATGCAAATGACAAACAGGTACCCTAATTAGAAGTATCTGGGGCAAACCAGACTATGATAAGGTATCTCCCATCATTGTATATAATAGGGAGCAAGGAAAAACAGTAATACAAACCAATTTCCTATCTTAGAACTCTTAAAGAGACTCCCGAACAGGTCTTTTTCTCCCCTTAACCACGAACAACAGCACTATCGAACCCCACTGAAAATAAACAATGCTTCAGTGCCACTGTTTAGGTTTAGTTACAGGAAAATGAACTGTGCTCTGAAGACCATAAAATACTAAATAGCAAATCACACACGGTTATTTTAGGATAGTAAATAAAAGGAGGTTTGAAAAGTTCAACAAGGCACTTAGAAAACATGATTAATCTGAAGCTGAACAGCAATTTGTTTCTTCTACCTTCTCATTTTTCATACAAAACGTTACATTCCCTCTCAGCGGTCCTGAAACACCAGCTTCCCTTACAAAAACATTTTTCAGGGCTGCTGACAGGGGCCACACCGGTTACTGCAATCAGGCAGTCCTGGAAGAACTAATAAAAGCATGCCAGCCTCTGTACACAGCCCTGAGAGCCACGCTGAGCTCGTCTCTGCACTTGAGAGGTTCAGCAAGTAGGCCCCCACAACAAAGTTATTAAAGATATGGAGTGAGAACACCAAGAAATGACTATTCAGGCAGCTCAGATAAACTCACCAACACACTGTGCAGTTATAAAGGAATTAAGGACACCTATTAGTGATTGCTTAACAAGTCAACTTATTAAATACCATTTAAGTCATTTTTCTTTACTTAGCAACTGTTGACTTAATTGGGGGGGGCACTAGGCTAATGGACTACAAAAGTTAGATAAGCACTTCAAAAAGATTCAAAAGAGAATAGATTCCTTCTGCCAAATTCATATATTCTCGCTCTATTTACAAGGATAAAATGGCTACAAATGGTGTGCTTAAACTGCTAATTTTGTATTAAATGGTGAACCCAAGATTATCTCCAAAGCCCAGCACTACCCATAATGGATAGCCCGCCAGACAAACTACTGTGGACAAAGAGTCCAAGTTTAAAACACTGCAGATAAAAATCGCAAATTTCAAAAGTCTCCTTCAAAAAGTGAAGTGCCATGTTAAAACATCCTTTCTCTTAGAAGGCTGTAAGTCAAACATTTCTAAAGCCATCAGGGCACAGTGAAAGCCTCAAAGAGAAACAAGGAGTCACAAGGAGCAAGCTTTAAGATTCAAACTATTCTTGAAAGCTGCCACTAAAATGTGTAGGAATCTTCAGCAGACCATCTTCTCTAAAGCTTACAAATTAAAGACCGTAATTATAACAT